GTTAGGTATAATTATCGTAATTATTTTCCGAACAATTAAGTACTCGAATTCAGTAAACATCTCAAAGGAAGGAAGCGGATCAGTTGGAACAATATCCTTATTTTGTACTGAAATTCAGCTAATTGGTTTGTCTCAGAGACAGATCGCGTGATATTTAAAGGTACTGTAGAGAAGCGGTCATGACCACAAATATAAAATTTTAGCTTCTGCTAGTTTTTGAAATATTAGAGAATTAAAAAATCCATTACATTTTGCGTATACAAATATCATTAATGTAAAGATTAATGTTACGAAAAATTCGAGAAATCCTAATAAACTTCATTGTCTAATCCTAATAAAAATTTAATAGAATAGCGAAAAAAGTTGTACAGCAATGTAAACAATAATTATAAAATTGTATATTCAAAAGAATTGCGGTTCATCCGAATCGTTCGAGAGCTCGCATTGAATTATTCTCGTGTAGTCTCTTCTGCCGATCATCATTCTTTGTCACAAGACTGTAGTCTCTTTTAGTGTTTATGTTTATATTAAGCTTGTCCTATTACATGGATTCTAAGTTTTAAAATATTAAAAAAAAAAAATTTTAATTTTTTTAGATCATAGTGAATCCAATAACGAAAAAAATTCTCAATATTTTTAGATGTTTGAATTTTTACAATTTTCGAGAATAGAAATTTCTTTAATTTCTCATTTGTTACCTAACGTAAAAATATCTTGAAAAAAAAACAAATCTAAACAAAAGCTTTACATGCATTCAAATAAACTGTTACATGATTTTTTCACGATTTTATAAGACTTGTATTTTTAATTATTTTAAAAATTTGTATAAATTACCCAGGTGCGAATATTTGACATTTCAGAGTTGAATCGGATAATTTTAACCCTTTCGGTACGAGTGTTCTGTCCGCCGTGATACACCCGCTGTACGAGAGCGTGTGGTCAGTTCTCTCGTGTATAAAGATTTTCCTTGGCATTAAATAAGAACTGTGCTTAATAAAACAATGTTTCTTCTAACAAATGTCGTCAGTTTTAATATTAGGACATTTATATAAAATTCTGTTAATTATACAAATAACACAGAATTATATAAGTACACACAGGTCATTTGATGGATGCCTGATATATCCGGCGCTCGTACCGAAAGGGTTAATAGAGCCCGAGCGAATACCTAAGACTGATTGTGAGACGAGGATCGTGCAGCCTATTTCGCTAGTTTCATTATTCCACGGACAGAACCGATCGTTGGTGGAGCAGTAACAAAAATATGGCAACTGTCCCTTTAACTCCCTTTAACTTTAAGATATAATAATTCTTTTTAAAAAAGTGGGCCATCATTCCCCAACTTGCTCTATAAATGTTTTTGGGAATAATTTTTTTCTGGCTTTGTTAAAAATTTTTTACTTGAGTTTGTAGAGTATTAGAAGAGCTTTTTTAATTAATTCTTTTTTTACTTCTTGTACATAAAAACAAAGATTAGAAGATAATTATTATTCCAAAAAAAACTTCTAGAAGTAATAAAAAACATTATTTTTTATTTTTTGCTTTT